CAACAGAGTATCAATATTCTTGCAGCGCATTTGCAGTGCTGCAAGGAAGACAGTTGAGGGGTGTCAGGGAAACATTACACTTCTTGTGCAATAACGGCTTTAGGGTGGGGATGCTCGAAGTAAATAATATATAGCCCTTGTTTAATAGGGCCCCAAATATAGACTGTTACTGGGTGGGGGCAGTACCCAACTTAAATCCCTAAACCCGCATTCTTGTTGAAATAAAACTAAAAACCTTGATTGTTGATCTATATTCGGCCCAGGTATACATAAAAATGTATAATGTTGTTCAACAAGAACACCTAAATCCCAAGACCCTAAACCCTCAACCCGGCTGCACATGCCGAGAGATGATGTCGTGCTTGCCAGGATTAAGCCAGGGATCCCCAAACCCCTCAATTGAAGAATATGCCCTAAGTGGTTCTAGGGTCCCTGGACAGTTGGGCTGCTAGTTCTACATGGGCTCTGTTATGCATTATATGAGGGTTTCCTAGAATTAGGAGCACCTTTTTTCGGGCCCCCTAATAAGGATTATACTAGATTGGGTTCTATACTGGGGTCCCCGTATTGTGGGAAGTTAGTATTTCTGGACCCAAAGACAACTGAAGTTGTCAGATAAGGGAAGGTATGATCGCAGCAGGGTGTAGGTTTGAGAGATGCGCACCCTTCGCCAGGGTTTAGGGTCAGGGTTCTCCCGACAACCACTGGCTACAAATTTCCTCATCGCCATATCTCTGAAAATGCAGACCCTCTGAGCATAATCCTTGCCGGGAAAGCAAACGGATTGCAGAAAGATTGGGCACAAATCCCGCAGCATTTCACCAATCCAAGCCCCGCCTGAACTAAGGCAGACTAATCACCAAACCAGCTAAATCCAGAACTCAAAATGAATAAGGATTTTGGTAGCCCACAACGCTCTTATAAGGACTCTGTGAGAATTAATGAAAATTATATCATAATCATTGGGTCCTCATTTGGGGGGTGGGGTTCTCAAACAACCCTTCTTGTCCCAGGTCCTAAAACCTAGTCCACGAACTCCCATTCCTGAGCCCTCTTCCTTGCATCCAACCCCATAGCACGCTTGTTTTGAGGGGGGGAACCTGAGGATACAACCGTAAACCCCTAAACCCTAAACCCCCAACCCTGAACTCTAAACCCCTGAGCCCTAAACCCCCAACCCCGAACCCTGAGCCCAAAACCTCAAACCCTGAACTCTAAACCCCTGAGCCAAAAACCCCAAACCCTGAACTCCAAACCCTACCTAAACCCCCAAAAGTAAGTAAAATCATGGCCCAACACCCCCAAATACATATCCCCAAAGGCCATTATTCTACATACTTTGGGGGTCCAGGTAAACCCCAAAACCCAACTTGCAGCTGGACTTCATTACAGCCATGTGGGTCTCAGGGATCTCGCAGTCCTCACACCGTTTAGGGTTGTTTGGGTTGAGGGTTTAGGGTTTTAGGGTTTAGGGTTTAGGGTTTATTCTTCAGGGCTTTTGGGTTCAGTGAGGATTTAGGGTTTTGGAGTTTAGGGTACAGTGTGTAGGGTTTAGGGTTTAGGAATATGTGGAGTATTTGGGGGCCGACAGACATGGAACCCTAAACCCCTTGTGGGAGTTGTCGGGGGCTTGAGGGTTTCAGTTATGATTCGAGGCTCAATCAAGGCCCAAGTGCAACCACCTCCCCCCCACCTCTCACCATCCCCGAATGCACGAGGATATATAAGAGTATAGTCTTCCCTTAGGAATACGTGGAGTATTTCGGGTAGACAGCTATGGAACCCTAAACCCTACTTTCCCCGAATGTTATAAGGATAACTGGGGAATACTTACGCGATGTATTGCTCCATGAGACCATCATATTTCACTCACGCGAGTACAAAATACCAGATTCAAGTTTGTGAGCCCTAGTAATTACCCTGCAGGCTTACTATGTTAAGTTTGCTTAGTACTTTCCGCCTTCTACCATCCCCTTGACGGATCTTATATTTGTGGGCAAGCGAAAATAGAAATCTCTGCAGGTAACCTTGGGTACTGCTCCCACCCTGTAACTGTCTATACTGGGGGTCATGTTAAGGGCTATATATAACTATATTATACATTAATATCATTATCCAACTGTTGCAGAGTGGGGGCAGTACCCAAAAGCAACCCTACAAGAGCGAAAGGTTCAAATTTGCATGTACATTCCAAATTCGATGCTCAAGTCAATCTCTCTCCCCATCCTAACAAATCACCTATGCAAAAATGACCCTCCAGCCCCTAATCTATTATTAGAGTGGGGTAGGACTATAGGGGGGGTGGGGGTTTACAGGAGATTACCTCGAGCTGGCCTTCTTGCATGTAGGTTGCTGTGGGCGAACATATTGCGAAACACTAGTCTTATTTATTTATTATAGGCAAGACAAGATAAGAGACTAATGAAAATCACATGGTCATACTTTGGGTCTTGCATTATCTCGAGATTGCGTGAGAATGTTTGTCTAAAAATTGCAGCCAGGCTGCTTTGCCGATTCAGTGGCTGAGTTCTCAAGCCCTCATCAATGTAGCTCAGTAGCCATAGCATGTTTCTCTTGTTGATGGTTGGGGGTATAGCTCAGAACTTTGAAGTCCCCAAATCCAAGGCTCACGCCCGACTCTCCCCGCAAACTAACATGGGAGCGACGCAACTATTGAAATTGTCTGTCGCAGGGCCTGCAGGGGGTACCCTGTCTTTTTGTAGAAGGGTTACCGCTGGTGTCAAGGGATGATCAAAAGTGGCGGAAGTCCACAACAAGTATTGCAACTAATTTAGATGAATGTATAAATTTCTGGAAAGCCAGGTCAACGCAGCACCACAAATCTGTCCCAGAACTCCTACAAGCCCAGGAGAACAAATCGAACGAGCGCAAAAATGTCCATACGCCCCGCGCCATTTTTAGGCGCATATTCGGGACCGGGGCGTTTATTATGATGGGGAGATGCTTAACCAACAATTTCCCAGATGGAGCCTCCTCATACTGATTCTCGTTCAGCTTCAGCTTCTTCATCTGCCAGAAAACCTGGACTGTAGCCGCACTGTAGCCACGGTAGGGGTGCAGGGGCGATACATGAGGTACATCCGGTGGATGCAGGGGACTGTGTCTCTCTTTTTTTTGGGGGGGGAGTGGTGTAGAGATCATGCAAGCATTTCTTCAATTTTAGAGCTCCGCGAACCATCGATAACCTTCGAGTCCACATTGTGTGAGTCCCCAGAGCTTGAGAACCCCCAGCTCCAAATTACAGGTTGTGTAAGGGCTCGTCGACTTACAAGGTTCTTGAGGGAGGGTTGCTCCAGGAAGGTACCTAGCGGACCTTATGGTGTCTCTTGGTGTCCTGGGGAGGGTATACAGGGCACTAGATTCCCTCCCCAAACCCCTGAACCCCAACCATGTTCTCCAAATCATTAAACTCAAAATCCTGCACCCCAAACCCTGTCCAAACTCCAAGGCCTATACTGCAAGGGCTACATTCACATGAAGAAAAACATACTGCGGGTGCGTAGAAAACCAGGGAATATATTATGCAGGCATTACATTCCCTCATTTCCTGCAAAGAACCAGTAACCCTAAACCCTAAACCTAGTAAACTCACATGAACAAGAACAAGCTCGCCTGCTTGAACTGCGGGAAGTACTTCACAGCCGCTGCATAGGTTTCCTTTCGGGTTCTCAAAAGCCAGGTTGTACGGGGTTTATGTCGGTTTATGAAGCTGTTTATATGGGATTACAATAGTGGCCATAATATGGTAATTTCAGAATCCGAAGCCCGAAATCCTAAACCTGAAAGGGTGCGGTCGTTATCATTCGCCTGGTAAAGAAAAGCATTGATAGCCTACTGCAAATACCAGATCGCTTACATGTGCTTTTTGAGCAGTTTTCAACGAATATATACCTACTGGACTGCTCCGTATCAATTTGAGCGCAGAATTAGGGATTTTCGGTGTAGGGTCTCCGGGTTCAACGGGCGACGGGCAACCTTCAGGTTCGTGAATGTGTCATCTTTGTTCCAATCAAAAACTTTCCGTCAGGAATCCAATGTCCATCACCTTCTAAAAAACCAAGCGCCATGTTCCCATGTATAGGGCTTTCTGAAGGTTAACCTTTTGCTTCGCATGGCATTTTATGGTACCCCCAAAAAATACAGGTGACCCAATGAACAAGTGGAGATTATGATGCAGCTTCTGCCAGTTCAGGAAAACCATTCACAAGACCTGAAGTAAAAGAGAGATGACCGCAGGGGCGGCAGCGGCAACTGTCCTGCCCCAAACCCGCTCTTCCTTTGACTCGACATTTTTCTGACCAACCTCGCAAAACAAATAGCTGATACTCCTACAGCCCTACCCAAAGCCCTAAACCATCAACCCCAAGAACACTAATCCCCTTGCCGGAGTCCTGCTTGTCGACCAGGACCGGCACACATTCCGAAAGGTGCTCCAGAGTTGTGTTCCAGCTGAGCATGCGGGCCTGGCCAGTAGGTTAAAGCTAAAGCCCTGAAGGCCTAAAGAGGACGTAATTTGGGCCCTAATGGGTTCCCACAGAGCCTTTTTCGGCCCAAACGACATCCTATTTAGGCAACGGGACCCTTAGGAAAAAAAGCCTCCCAGGGGCCTTTGCCGAGGCTCCCTGGGACCAGCAAAGCCCCGAACTCTCGGTAGCCGGTTTAGGGTTCATGGTTTAGGGTTCCGGCGCTCACTCTTCCCCCCGGATATAGTCCAATGAGGCCCCAGACAGCACGAACCTCTAGTCCTCCATAGCGCAACCTTTGATCCTAAAACCCTAGCCTCGCGACTTGAAGGGAACCCCAGACCATGCAACCCTGCAATATGGTGGCTTCCGGAGATGCAACGCTGGGCCTTCTTCTCCTTCATGTCTCCAGGCTTGAGACCGCAATGGCCGAGTCGACGGAAAGGCCTCCACTTATGCAAACGAGGGCCGGTCTCCACGGAACGCAATTCATAGGGCTTAGCGTTTAGGTTGTAACTTGTTGACTTTCAACATCTAGGACCCTAGTACAAAATGGTTGCAAAAGCGTTGGCCTACAGCTGCTGTAATATAGCAACCCCATCTTCCCAATAGCGAACATGCACATCAAACTATAATCTAGACTATGATGTAGCCTAAGGCGCCAAGAATCCCAATCTACATACCCACTGTAGGCGCCATCCCAAAACCTAGAGCCCTGGGGTTAGGGTGAGGCAGCTTTATAAACTACGTAAAGCTTGCAAAATTTTACTCCAGCTAAGTAGACACGAGAACCCAACAACCGAAACTGCTAAATGCGAACATCATCTTAGCAAACTGGGAACGGTTAGGAGGCGAGGGATCGTACTATGGGGGAGGTTGTTACACCTTAAGCCCCAGCCCCCTAACCTCAACCCCCAGACTCCCAGACCCTACATGCTAAAAAGCTAGGCCCCAGAAGGCACGTCGCAGAATCAGGATGTTTGTAGATATTCAAGGTTCCTGTCCCTAATGTAACCAAAATCTAACCCCAATACCCCAACATAACCCTCATATAACCCTAATGTAACCCTAAACAGGACTGACAATGTTCATCCCGGAGGGTTTCAAACTACGACCTTTGCGGAGTACTTCGAGCCTTGAAGGCCGCCACTTCAAAAAAAAACACAAACATCATTGGCTGACAACAAAAGAAACCACAAACATTATTGGTTGGAGGAAGCCTGCAAAACATCAGAAGGCCTATACACCCGCGTGGGCCAGGAAACGGTGCAGCAGCATAGGTTATAATATTGGGGTTATGGAGTTATATTGGGGTTATGTTGGGGTTATATTAGCTGTATTGGGGTTGTAGGGTTCTATTGGGGTTATAGGGTTATGGATCTTGTGATAGACTTGAAAGTGCAGCCTGCAAAGGGCAAAGAAGCATTGAACTACCCCTTCCAATTTCCAACTTGCCTTCTTGAATGTGGAGGCTTTTCGGGGTATAAGTTTGCTTGTGAAGCAGGACAAACTTCAGAGGAAATGCTCATCCATAAGCCCAATGAGGAGCACAGACTGCTGTCATAGCCGAGAAGCTCATGCACGCAGCCGTAGTTCCTTGACGGCACTGCTTCTGGAACGCGCTAATACAGTGGGCTAAATAGTTGCCAGTATCATTCTGAGGTGTATTTCAGGTAGAGTTTTTACTACCATAATTCCACGAGAAACATACTAGGCCCTTACATTCTGTTCGGTATCTCACAGGCAGCTTCCCTCTCTTTGCTGCTCATTAGAAGGTAGTGAAGGAACGTAAAAGAACATGGAAACTACCATTTAGGGTCAAGTTGGTAGTAGCGAATGTAGGAATGGTTTCAAGTTGTTGCTGGCGAATGAAGGATTCGAAGCTACAATTTAGGGTGCACGGTTTGGGGCCACGTCGCTAAAAGGAAAAGAAGGGATAGAAGAGAACATGGTGACAATGACACATGATAGTTTCCCAAAATTAGGTGTGCCTTTTTGGGGCCCCTACAATAAGGGTTCTGGAATTTGGGGTGTCTATATTGGGGTCCCTTGACTTTGGGGAACTACCACACTAAACCCTAAACCCTAAAATACAGGGTGGCTGTTATAGGGCTCGGCTCCTCCAGCCCTCCTTTCTACAAGTCTTTCCCACATGAGCTATCATCTAAAAATCGCTGGTATCCTCCCGAATAACCCCTATAGCACTCCCGATATAATCCCCTATATAAGTAACCTTTAAGGAGTTTTAGACTGTAGCTCACCTGTAGGTGTAGGTTTTGGGGTTCAAACATCATGTAGAACTTCTCTCTGTACTCAATCAATAATGTTTTGCTACAGACTGCCTGGCTACAAAATCAACCACATGCACTTTATATATGTCCGAGGCCGTTCCCTCCTGTAGTCACCCTAAACCCTAAACTCCGAACCGCGTTATTGCCTCTCAATAAAGCCCCTTATAGCACAGTGACTGGGAGGGGGAATGGCCCAACTGTATCTGAGGATCTCCAGGTCCACTCAGGTTTAGGGTTTTAAAAAGGGTCTACGGAAATTGGAGCCAGTAATAACAGGGCCTCCAGATTAGAGCGATCACGCGTGCAATCTTCATACCATATATTGGGGGTCAGGGGGGCTTAATTAGCAAGGATTAGTTGTAGTCGCCTTAGACCTATTAAAAACATAGTTTCAATCATTCCTTAGGGTCATACTATAAGATCACTGAAAATAAGTCTTAAGAAGACTACAGTTAGTAAGTATACGTCAAGCACCTAGAAGCCGATTTAAACAAATAAGTCGTACTAAGTACCCTTGACCTTTCCATGTACGACCCAACAAAACCCTTCTGGAATCCCAAGGTGACCTTCACGTCTTGCAGGAACTCAAAAATCCAGAAGCTCAAACCCACAGCTAGAATCGGTAACATCTTCGGAAGTCATGTTCCTGACACTGGTGTTAAGTCTCATGGAAATTTGTTACAAGGCCCTGGATAAAACCTGCGTTACTTGGGCTCTCTGCCGTGCTGCCCGCCCTAAACCCCAAACGCTTCGTCGAAGCACCTTTTATAAGAAGGATATTTTAGTAGCCCCAAGCGCCCTAATGAGGACCCCAGTTGGGTAATATGACATTTGTATCCTGTAGGGTCCTTGTTTTGGGGGGTACAACAATGCTGTTTTTATGCAAGGCTCTGCAGCAGGGACTTTAACTTGGTTGCATCGAGCTTGCCCATGCACGCTGGGGCGATCCTCGCATTTAGATGGTTTAGGGTTTGAGACAAAGCTTCAGGGTTGGAAAAGAAAAATCATTTAGATGGTTTAGGGTTTGAGACAAAGCTTCAGGGTTGGAAAAGAAAAATGGAAATTACTGTAACGTGTAGTGTTTATAGGGTCGAGGACAAGATGATCGGAAGGCTGGAAGAATTCCATGATTGAGGCTTGGTTTAGGCGTTTAAGGTTTGGTGGGCTAGAGGGAGGGGCCCTTAAGTCACATATCGGGTTACTATACGTTAAAAGCACCCGATACTGGGGAGAAGTATACGGCGTTAAGTCCTCAGGACTAGGAATATATACCCTATATAACCAATTATAACAGTTTCCATTCTCTTTTCCATTATCCCTATAAAAAAAATATAACCCCATACGTATAACTTACCCTTATAGTTAGCGGATGTGAAAGCGTGCTACCCTTCAGCTTTAAGGCTCAGGCCTGCTGTCAAGTTGAGTGCTTAGGGTTTAGGGTCGTAACGTCCGAGAGTTGCATGTGCGCTCGATTGTGCATTTGATTCTCCTAGGGTTTAGGGTTTAGGATTTAGGGTTTAGGGTTTGTCAACTTCTCTGTCGAATGCGTCGAGTCTACCCCTAAACCACAGACCCTACGTGTCATACTAGTTTCCATGTTCTCTTGTATCCCTGCACCCTTAAGTTTACAGTAGCTGTACCCAAAAGGGTTCGAGGTCTTTCTTCTGCGGACTTACAAGGTTGAGGGTTTAGAGTACACCGGAGAATCTCGTACCTGGGGATATCTCACGTGATCCCTATATAGCCCCCCATGGGGACCCTCTGAATGAGTTTACTATCCCTACACATACCTCCGGTCCCTGAGGACCACCCTGAAGAGCCTAGTTGCTGACTTCCTTGGCCCCAAAAAGGTTAACCGTTGTATTATAATAGGACCATATATACCCCAAAAGGTTAAAGGTTACCTACCCAGCTACTAGGAGAGAAACCCCGAACTGCCTGCAACCACCTGCTGGCATCCGTCGCCTTTTATAGTCCCCGTTAAGTTGATAGAATATGGCTTCGGCTAGCTATCATAAGATCCCCCAGATCCCCCGTATACCCCATGTTCCATCTACTTAAGGGGGACTATAAACCCGAAACCCTGAACGCTAGACCCTGAACCCTCAACCCTAAATCAACTTTTCAGGCAAGGACAGGGCCATCTGAAGGTACAGATTGCTGATCAAGGCCTACCACGTCCAATGGGGCTCAGCTGAGGAATATGAGTTCTCATCTAAAGGCCTAGCATCTCCCTCAATAGCCCCTATAAAGTCCTAGTATTCCCCTTAATAGCCCCTATAAACTCCTATAATCTCCTAATATCCCGCTTAATAGCCCTTATAATCTCCAAATATCCCGCTTAATAGCCCCTATAATCTCCAAATATCCCCCTTAATAGCCCCTATAATCTCCGAGTATTCCCCCTCAATAGCCCCTATAATCTCGAAGTATCCCCCTTAATAGGCCCCTGTAATCTCCTAATATCCCCCTTCATAGCCCCTATAAACTCCTAATATAGCTCCTAGTATCCCCCTTAATGGCCACTATAATACTTCCCTTTACTATAGCTCATGTGGTATTGGGCTCCCTGGATACCTTTTTAGGGTTTAGGGTTTAGGGTTTATCACGCAAATGCTATCCACTCAGCCCAATGGCTTATAATTGATAATAAGGCTCGCATCATAAGGGCTCTAGTTAAGGACGAGGGCTTAGAGCCTCAACTTCACAAGAATCCTCCGCTACCTCCCTAATTAGTCATATTTTTGAAGTTCTATGATGGTGCTATATCCTAGACCTGCGGTGGAACCCTCACCCAAAAAAGGTCAGAACGGTCTCGGCCAGGCTTTATAAGGGGCAAAAACCCATATTGTTTTCAGGACAGCTCTAGTTGGGAGTGTCTTTGGCGGACACCTCCACCAGTATAGTGACCATAAGAGCCAACGGTGATTACATTAAGGTCCTCTTATAGTCCTTTTGTACCACTGTTACAGGGTAGGGGGTCCACCCAGGGAATATCTACTAGCTGTGGAGTGACAGCGAGGTGGTTAAGTATGCCTAGTATCTTCTTGGTGTGCACGAGGCGGTTCGTGTAGCCTCAGTTGCCACCATGTTGTGAGACATGCTGGCAGATCAGTCGCAGGGGGTTCATGTAAGCGTATGAGAAATATCCACCTTGGGCCTGCGGATTAGGATTGACGGCTTCAAGTCCACAAGTGACACCTGATTTGGGCCCTGATGTCTTTATAGGAATAGTACCCACTTCAGGGCCTGAAGTCTGTAAAGAGTACCTACTTGCTTATAGCCATTGAGGCTTACAACAGGAATTTACAATATAGGGTTCAGGGTTGTTAGTAGGTAATGGAATGGACAAGCAATTACAAAAGCAAACCTAAACCCATGGGGTTTAGGGTCTAGGGCTTACTTGCTGGTTGCTAGTAGGAACAGAAGGCATGGAATAACAGAAGTCGGGGACTGCTAACTTGTTGGGGCGCATGTCAATGTGAGCTATAGTCTGAACTCTTTCAAGGTGGCCCTATAGGGGATTATATAGCGGAGAATTATATGGGTTATGAAGGGGGATGCTAGGAGTTAAGACTCTTATAAGCCCTATAATCCCCTATATAATCCCAGTTTCCGTTTCATTTCCCATGTTCTTTTCCCATTTGAGTCTCCATTATTAAGGGGGGTACTAGGAGTTCAGACTATAACCCCTATAATCCTGTACATTACCCCTTTCTATGGCGGTTTCCATGTTATTTTCCATGTTCTTTTCCATTTGATTCTCCACTCTCGGGCAACACCCATTCCTCCATCCTCGACTGCAAGCTATGACGGACAAAGTGGCCCAGGACGGTCAGTCCTGAAAGAAAAAGAGCTCTACTATAGTTACCTAAATAATTACCACTATCATGTTGAGGTCCATTTGAGGTACCATATACTATAATTATATACAAGGACTATGGAACCATAATATTGGCAATTCTTGAGGCCCCTATATGACATAAGGACTGCTTGCGCCTTATTGAAATGACCGTGTGAAGGTTCAGAGAATGGGGCTGGAGTAAGAGGGCAGTTTGCCAAGACATGGCATCAACAACAAGTGCGCGCGCAGAATGATACGGTGGATAATGGAAATCCTGCATGACCCTAAGTACCTTATCCCTTTAGAACTATGGTATTAAAGCATACTAGGGTCATGCAGGATTTCTAGTATCAACAGCAGGAGAAGAATTGGGAATGTGAGTTGTTCGGCTTCAGAAGGCAGTCAGTAGACTTGCTGTTTGTAAGGAATGAAGGAATGCAAAAGGACATGAAAACCACAACGTTCCTGGGATTATGTAGGGGCTTCAATTGGAATCCATTCCTCCAACCCTCACTTATGACATAGGTGGACCCCCACCCTGAAATAGTGGTATAATAGAGATACATGAGGACCCATCATAATCACCATTGTGCCCTAAATTCAGTATTACTGTGTGGGGGGGTCCCAGTGACAGTCCATCTTTCGCGTTTCGGGGGAAGTGGCTCGGGCGATCGTGCCTTTACTTATACTCTTACTGGTTCTTCGTAGGGATTAAGGATTTTTCTTTAAATATGGATTATGTGTGGGAATTATCAAGGAATGCGGGAATATGATCACCATGCATCTTTTCAACCCGGCTTTCACCATGGCACCTGAGACCCCTAACAGCTCACTTTTAGGTACCTGTAACAGGTTGTATAGGGGAACAATAGAGGGGAACC